CCCCATTTCTGAAGGAGGGTCTAGGCCCGAAACATCAGCCTTCCTGCTCCTCTGATGCTGCTTGGCCTGCTGTGTTCATCCAGCTCTACACCTTGTTATCTCATTTGCAACTGTTTTGCTGGTTACAAACTCTCCAAGGTTGAGTACATTGGGAAATGCATTAAGTAAAAGTAATTTATTTTCCACTTCCTCATGCCCATTGGCAGCCTTTCTTAGTTAGAACATATGGAAATGGAATACACATTGTAATCACAATAGGGCAGGCAAAACATGTAGTCTGCAGCCAATTCTGATCTGGCGTTCTTTTTTTTAAAAAATACAAATCCAATCATGTCTAATCCATTTAGACGAGACACCAATATCTACATGTTTAATCAGTTTAATCATAATACAGCAAATTCACTTTGCAGTAAACTGTCATGTTGAATCACTTCAAATCTCCAAAAAACAGTAATTAATGGTGACAGGTTCACTAAAAAGAAATTATCTTTTTGACTTCTTCACGCACTGGCCTTTATGTCAATCCAATAAAATGGAAGTCTCAATGAGGTACAGGTTTTTCTTTCAGGTTTAGAAAGTCCTTTTACAAATTTAAATTTTAATAAATTTGGAAGTACACATAATAAGAAGCAAATTGTGAATATCAGATTAAAGCACTTTTTTAAAAAACGGTGTTAACAAGAAGATAATTCATTAACTGTTCACGTTCAGGAAAATCCCTCAGGAGCTGAAGAACATTTCCCCCCACAGTTGGGGATAAATTGTATTCAAATGATTTCTCATTTAAAAAAAACTACATTATTTTAATTCATTCATGGGACATCGGCATCGCAGGCTGGGCCCAGTATTTATTACCCATCCCTGGTTGCCCTTGAGAAGGTGGTGTCAAGCTGCCTTCTTGAACCACTGCAGTCCACATGCTGTAGATGGACCAACAATGTCATTATGGAAGCAATTCCAGGCTTTTGACCCAATGAGACTGAAGGAACGGCAATATATTTCCAAGTCAGGATGGTTTTGGGTGGGGGTGGGGAGGGTGCGGTGGCTTGCAGGAGTTGGTTTTCCCATGCTGCCCTTGACCTCCTAGATGGTAGTGGTTGTAAGTTTGGAAAGTGCTGTCCAAGGAGACGTGGAGAAGTTCTGTCATGCAACTTGTAGATATGCACACATTTTGAAGCCTTAGAAACGTGAACTGTATTGTACTCAATGTACGCTGCATACAGTCAGACCTGGATGACATTCAAGTTTAGGCTGATAAGTGGCAAGGAATATGCGCACACCAAGTGCCAGACAATGAACATCTCCAATGAGAGACAATCTAATCATCGACCCTTAACATTTGGCACCATTGCTCTTTTCTTCCTCGTTCGTACTGTCGTGAGAATATTTTTGAAGAGTTTGAATTTCCTATGTTTGAGGGCATGGATCTCTTCAAAAGCACCAAGTACCAATGAAACATTTATTGTGCACCAATGGGCAGTACCACGTTGCTGGCATTTTCAAACAGAGACTGGAGACAAGAATTTCAAAATCATTTACAAATTGTTATCAACCAATGAGAGTCACTCCTGTCAACTAACCAACATTTACATCAGTGGTCACTCATCCATGCATTGTTCAGATACACAAAATCATACACTCCCCAAGCTCTCCTGCAACAATCCATGTTAAAAAGGCTTTTATATAATGTTCGAGCCCTGACAAGAAGCGTGCTCTTTTCCCCTCCCTCTCCAGGTGAGAGATTTTAAATATTAAATCTCCACCCTGCATCCAACACCAATTGCTGAGAAAACCAGAATGAAACTTGGGCAACTTTGGACCCCTCCTTGCAAGAAAGTGCTCAGTATCTCCTCAATATCTCCCAAGCATGAGCTGGTGTAACACCAGCTCTCAAACATATTGCTCAACAGCATACTATCCTAGTGACTCAAAATGCCCACATCCCCTCACCATCTCCCTCCTTGCCCACATTCCTTTTACAAATTGTATTATTTATCAGAGAATTGGTAAATATGACAGAGAACCAACATGATATCCTTCAGTCAATACAACCATTCCTCTTTCCCCCATGACAGTGCAGGGTCAATTTGGAAAAAGGAACAATGTTGATTAGACAGAACAGAACACAGCATCTACATATGAAAACATTCCTACTTTACATTCATGTTGAACTTTACTGAGCACAGAAAAAATGCATTGTTTGCAGTATTATAGCGATGACTGAAGACCTCCAACAAATTGAGGAATAGAAACCAATTCCATCCATTGCAAGCAATGCTGAGAAAGAGATACTTACACCAAATGTAAATGGCATTCAATTCTATTCTACCATTCCCAAAAGGCCAGTAAAAAGGCAGTTCCTCTGAGAGAGGATTTTTCTGAAGAAGGGCCTAGGCCCGAAATGTCAGCCTTCCTGCTCCTCTGATGCTGCTTGGCCTGCTGTGTTCATCCAGCTCTACACCTTGTTACCTCTTTCCTCTGAGAGAGAGAGCAGGATTGCCAAGACTGGTTTACCAAACTCAAACACTACGAGATTCTCACTGCAGTAACATTTCAGATATTCTATTTAAGAAATCATTCATTCAATACAAGCTCAGCACATAGATCACCTTCCTTTCAAATACTAATTATGCTGTGCTTTACTTCCCTCCCACAGAGGCAAGAAACACTGAAAAAAAAAATTACAACAGAAAAGCCCCAGGAGCAGGCACTGAATAGCCAGCAGCACAGGTTAACTGTTCTTTCCCTACTAAACTAGCAAGCTATGTATTATTCATTAATGTGCAATACATCCTATTCCACTACTACAACAAACTTCACAAATGATACAATTGTACAATATACTCATCTACTTGATAGGAATTGGGCACTAGAAAAATAACTGATAGCTGACATTATCACTAAAAAAATTGCAGCTAAGGCTGATGAGGTGTAATACAAGTGAATTGCTTGCACCCTGCTTTTTGATGATCACGAATCAGTCACGAGTAGCAGTAGTGTTATGAACAGTAAGAAAAGGGGACAATCAACTCTCCTCTATTAACACTCTACCAATCAGTTACTCCAATTTATTTTATTTCTTTGTAGCACACAGCTATCAGACTTCAATTAAAACAGTGAGCCAGACCAAAATGAAGAAGCCAATTGCAAACAAAAAATTGGTACCTACTAGCAAATAAAAAAATTAGAAGAATTGGGCTTTACTAGCCATGTGTACTCAAGTACAGGAGTGCAGTAAAAGGTTTACAATGTCGCCATTCACTGCGCCATCTTAGGTACAGATATTTAGGTACAAAATCTTAGGTTAAAAAAAGTAGAAAAATAAAGATATAAGAAGTTCAACATGACAGTTTATTTCAGTGTAAAGAAGCAAATAAGAAATAAAGTTAAAAGTTCCAAATTACAATCCTTCTTTAGCCACGCTGACTTTCTCTACGAGGACTCAATCTCTCTCCCTCCTAGCTCAATTTCTCGATCTTCTGCACTGCCATCTCACCATCAAGAGCACACAAGCATGAGAGAACACGCAAGCACAAAGACGAGAGATAGAATGTACAAGTGACAGCAAGATTGAAATATAGTTCATTTGTGTATTCCTAAATCTAGCTCCATTGTCCTTTCAAGTTGACCACTTGCAAGTAACTCTTTCATGTTCCAATTATGCAATTTATTATACAATTGTGAATTAAACAGAATATATAATCTTCGTGATGTTGACTTAATTTGTTTCAATGCCTTTGAAACAGTAATTTTAGTGCAGACAAGTTTTATATATCTTTCACTGGTTTCACAAAGCTTGTCTGAATCTGTGATCACATGATCATGGGAGCCATTTCAGATCAGTATTTTTCTCTTTTAAAATCACTGTTTCTTCACAAAAGAACCCTGGTATTAAATGATACAAGTCGAATACCAATTGCTCAACCTCATAACAAGCAACAGAACTTCAAGTGTGTAGTGATTGTTATGAGGTCAGCCAGCTGGACCTCATAGAACATGAGTTCCCCGATTGGGGCTGTTAATCCGGTCCAATCAGGGAGACCTGGCTGACATAAGAACAGGAGTGGCAAGAGGTTCTGCTCACTCAGAGCTAGCTGACAGCTGGATCAGTGTCAAGGACTCTCCACGTGTAAATAACGGGTGACTTGGTGATGGGATAGCAGCCTCTGCGGAGTTATTTCAAAATGTCCTCTTAAATAAAACCGATTTGAATAACGGTTGGTCCAGCTTTCATGAACTTGTGGGCAGAAAACAATAGACCAACTTGTGAGATCAAGAACTGAAATAAAAGCCCAGGATAGGTTCTACAATAGACTCACAATGTAATTAGCTTGTTGACTTCTGAACCTCCAAAAACCTTCATCTTTTTGCAAAAAATTCTCTTCTTCCACTTTCAGAAATAATTTCTTTAAAAGCAGGTAATCCGACTAATTCTTTCAGACTAATTCTTTCTGACTGATGCAATGAGAAAGAAATGGTTGCACAACTGTTGGACCAAATCATATGCGCTACAATGCTATGCTTGACTGTTTAACCTGCAAACATGACCACGTATGGCCTTTTGGAACACACTGCTTGAGATAATCTTTTGGGATTTTGTGGCCACATTTGACTCTCAATAAAATTCTATCATAAAACGCAGGATCTTGCCATTAGATAAATGTCAAATATTTCACTGCTTGGGAGGAGAACACTTACCCATATTTCTCTGCCAACTCCTTGGCAGCTTCTTCTTTTACTGCTCTCTGATCCTCTAAATCACATTTATTGCCACATAATACAATATCTGGGTTTTCACAGTACGCGTGCATCTGGAGTTGGCCTGGGGTGAAACATTTATCAAAAGTGAGAAAGACACACACAAGTATATTTTATAAAAAAAATAACATTGTTAAAAAGTGTGAAACATCACAATCCCTCAAGAACAGCATTACAGGTGAGGCATTGAGCGGAACGAGGAACACGAGATTGGAGATAATACTAACAGCAAATCCCCTCTAGTGACTCAGAAATCCCCTGGAAAAAATTACACTGGGATAAAGAAGTACAGTGTTTCAAGTTTATTTCATTTAAAAAAAAATCTGAACCAGAGATCAGTGGATCAATTGTATTTTAAAAAAGACAAGCCACACAACAATTTACCCCGGACTTTCACTAAATCTTCAAATGTTAGATTGTGAAACTTGTGAAGACCGTGAAATCCCAGTATGTTCCAGTTCACTGAAGGGGAAGAGCTGAGGCTGAGCCCTGAGACTTTCCGGATTCTACACCTTGTTGTCAAGTTACCCTTCTTGTTTAAAAAACCATCTGCCATTCACAAACAAAACACTTTTTTTAAAAAAAAAGAGAGAGGGATCTTGACCAGAAGTAATCCTTACCAAAGTCGTCACTTCTGCTCTTCATTATGGGATTTTAGCTTAACGCTTCAACTCCAGAAGCCACCAACAGTCATGCACCTCCTGCCCTCTCCTCCACCCCACACCCCCCTGGTTTGGAGGAATGAACTCAATCCTCAGGCCCACTCCCAGCCCACGTGTACAATGCCACAGGCATTATCTAATGATGAGACAGCGTAGTCAGCCAAGAGTGACCCAAATCACCTCAGCATTAAGTCAACGCTAAAACGTTAGTCTGTAACTTTATAGCCTCTCCCTTCGCTAACTTTGGAGGTGGGTTGTGGTCCATACAAATATTGTACTTAGCCCACCACTGTCATCTACCCATGGCCTATTGAGGCTGGCAAGTTGCCAATTAATGCTCATTTAAAAATTTAAACCTCTAGCCAACTCCTTTGGTCGTTAGGTCAAAGGGTCCCTCAAAAAGCTCAAAAGGGTCTGCAAAAAAAAAAAAAGAAAACTTATTATGGAACCATTTTGAATTGAGCAGATACAAGGACAATCTTTTGAATAAGTAAACCCAGCTATTGCGTAGAAAGATTCAGAAATTCCAGGCACTTTGAGAGTAAAATGGTCAATGAGATTGTCATGCAGGTTAAAAGGAACAGAAGAAATTAAACAATAAAAGAAGAGAAAAAGGGCATCAAAGGAACCAAGAGGGTGACACTGCAGTGCAGGACAACTGGTGGTGGGGGTGGGGGGCAGATGGAGAGGTGAAGGAAGCAAGTGTAATTCACACACGTACAGATCAGCTAATGAGCAACAATTTTATACAATCGCACAGGCCAGGGCCAAACCATAGCAACGGGAGCAAACCCCTCAGCCCATCAAGCCTGCCCCACCACACAATCCAATCATGGCTGATTGAACATTTCCCATAACCCTATATACACCATTGATAGACTTCTGATTACCAATCTCTACCTTAAAACTGCTCAAAGACTGAGTCTCCACAACCCTCACTGGCAGAGAATTCCAAAGGTTCAAAACAAATTCACCTCACCTTGGATCCAAGCAGTAGCCCCCTTATTTTTAAATTATGCTCCTTCATTCCAAACTCAACCAGGTACGGCAATGTGACTCCTTGGTTAGAACTGCTGCCTCAGCACCAGGGACCCAGATTCGATTTCACCCTCGCACAACTACGTGCGGTTTGCACATTCTCCCCGTGTCTATGTGGGACTCCTCCAGGTGCTCCGGTTTCCTCCCACAGTCCATTGATGGGCAGGTTGGGTGGACTGTCCATGCTAAATTGGCCAGTGTCCGGGGATGTGCAGAATAGATGGATTAGCCATGGGAAATGCAGGCTTACAGGAATAGGGTAGTAGGGGGTGGGGCTGGGTGGGATAATCTTCAGAGGGTCAGTGTGGACTTGACAGGTTGAATGGTCTATTTCCATACTGTAGGGATTCTATGATTTTATCTACATTTCCCTTGTCTATCCCTTTAAGTACTTGAAAAATTTCAATGACCGCACCTTAATACAAGTCCAGTTTGCCCAATCTCTTTGCATAGGACAGTTCCTCCAGGTCTGTCCTTGCTAAAACCTCAAAAAATAGCTGAAACCCAGTCAGTGTTTAACATACATGCTGAGGAATCAATAAACTGATCAGGGTTTCTGTTATAAAGAAAGTCTCAAAACATCGATTCATAGAGTCATAGTCATACAGCACTGAAACAGACCCTTCGGTCCAAATAGTCCATGCCAAACATAATCCCAAGTAAACTAGTCCCACTTGCCTGCTCCTGGCCCATATACCTCTAATCTTTCCCTATTCATGTACCTGTCCAAATGTCTTGTAAACATTGTAACTGTATGCACATCCACCACTTCCTCTGGCAGTTCATTCCACACGCAAACCATCCTCTGTGTAAAAAATTTGCCTCTCATGTCTTTTCTAAGTCTCTCTCCCCTCACCTTAAAAATGTGCAATTACTTGCTAAAAATGGAACAGATGATTGGGTCATACAGTCACAGTGTCATACAGCAGAGAAACAGACCCTTCAGTCCAAATCAACCGCACCGATCAGATATCCCATTTGCCAGCACTTGACCCATGTCCCTCTAAGCCTTTCTTATTCATATACCCATCCAGATGCCTTTTAAATGTTGTAATTGTACCCACCTCCACCAATTCCTCTGGCAGCAAATTTCATCCACACACCACCCACTGCATAAAAAAGTTGCTCCTCAGGTCCTTTCTAAATCTTTCCCCTCTCAATTAAAAACTATGCCCTCTAGTTC